TTCCTTCAAATTACCTCAAACCTAACCGTTCACCATAACTATTCTTGCATCTCGTGTCCGTTCTTGCAATGACTTCATTGGTATATTCTGCCAATGAATCCAGAACTACACATGGCCTGATTCATGTAAAACCAAGGATATGTAGGCAACTCAAGACAGGATACCGGCCTCTATCTTTCAAAAACACCCCATTCAGTCAAAATTGGCCATCATTTCTTTACCCGAAAACTCTTTCATCCTTCCCGGGTAAAGAGGGGCAGCTGTTGATACCTAATTTTTCCTCACATATTTTAAACACTTATATATACTTTCAAAATATTACATATGCAGTTATAAGCATGCATAAGTATTTTTATAATTTTTCTCTATAGTTTTAAAAGATCCAAATCAATTTATTTCTTCTCTTTTTATTATATAAATGTCCAATAATTATCCTTCAAATTGATTTTATGATGATTTAGCCATTTAAATTTATTATTTATGCCAACATAGTGCTTAAATATTTTTAATGCATATTTTGTAATTATATTTACATTTTTAAGCTAAATTGCACAACTTTGCAATAATAGCCCTTACTAATGTATAATTACATTATTTATGCATAAAATGGTATTTTATATTTCTTAAATGTTAAACAACTATTTTAAATCATTTTAGTATACAAAGATATTTTTGGTACTCATTTATTATTTTTTATAAATTATTTAATTATTAAAAGTGGCTATTTAAAATTTGGCCTTATTTTATTTCAATTTTACTCTTAATTTTGACCCAATACCCAGCCCAATCTTAGCCTAAACCTACCCAGCCCAAAACTAAATGCCCAACCTAGCCCTAATCTCATTTAATCTCGACCGTTGATCATAGAGATCAACGACCACAATTGGCCCCTTCCTTTTTAGTCCCAAACGACCCCCCAAACCCTTTCATTTCTCACCAACCGCCGCCTTGAAGTCCCTTTCCTCTAAAAAGCTCTCAAATCCCAACCCTAATTTACCCACATCGCCGTTCATCTGCTGCCTTTCATGGTGTTTCCCCACCACCACCAGGCCTCTAATGGCCCCCCTCACGCTGGTATTGCCATCTCTAAGGTCCTCAAGGGACCAGGGTCAGTCCGCTTGTATCTCTGGCCCTTTTTCGCCTATTCAGGCTGTTCCAGTTTGGTTCCGAGTAAGATCTCCTTATATCGTCATAAATCTAGGGGTTTCTAAGCTTGCTTCTTCATCTATGTGATTGTTCTTCTCGAAACCCTAATTTCTTCATTCTGAACTTCTTAGTTTTGTACAGATATGAGATGGTTTGGACCTATTTAATATGATTTTTACAATAACCTTTTGATTCTTTACAAGAATCGTCTTATTTTCGAATGATTTTTAATCTTTCTCTAAACTAGGGTTTCCGGAAATTTCTTTTTCCAAAACATTTGATGATTTGGGTGTTTAATCTTCTGTTTCCTCTATGTTTTAACCGATTTCATTAGGTTTGCTCTAACTTCAACTCGTTTACACTAAAAGCCCTAATTTTTTTGACTCTTTTATTTGGTTTCTGAGTTACTTGTGTACTGCCTTTGTTCTTGTCTTGGTTCTTGTGATTTCTCTTTAGCCATTTAGATGTCTTGTGATTTTCTTATCCTAATATGCCTCTACTAAGTTCTTGGTTAGACTTTTCTACTGATTCTATATGTCTATGTTCATTCTGACTATTCTTTTCTTGTTTTATTTAAGTTGTCTGCGATATTTGCTGACTCTTTACATGATTTTCTCCTTAGTTAAACCCTTGATTATTCTGAAGTTCTTATTTTCGGTTTGAATTGAGCCATTTTTACTAACAAAGTCCTTAATTCTTACTACTCTACTCGGTTTGATTGAACTTCTTGCCTTAATTAGTTTCCTCTTGCCTTATTTGTTATTTACTGATTATTGCTAACTATTTCTTTAATTGGACCCCTGTTCATTCACCCCTAATTACCTTACTTGATTTCCTTCCTTAAAATATTTGTCTTGCTTTTACCGTTGATTGATTATCCCTTGATTAAAGGGAAGACTTACCGATTTTACATGTGATTGATACCATGAATTTCCCTAATTGCTACTTAATTGATCCCTTACCTTATTTTGTTTAACTCTTGATTACTATATAAACTCCCTCTTATTTTAACTGCTGGACACAAACAATAGTTTAGAAACTATCACTTTATACTCTAAAAGTCTCTCTCTGTGCTCTCTTTGCTACTTGTGATCCCTGTTATTCTAGCCGGCTGCAAGCCAAGGCTGGGAATTGCACAATACTTTGCTGACATCTTGTGTTTTCTTTCTTTAACTAGGTATGCTTCGGATTAATTTTTAAGAATTAAAACCTATGTATTTACTTACTACTTTAGTTCATGTGGCCTGATGTCCATTCTTGCTTCTATTTACTGCTCACCCACCTCAAATCTATGATTAGCATGTTTCCACTATGCTTGTTTGCTTGCTGTCTTGTTTGATAGATCTACATATGTAACTAGGCCTGTTTGACTAACTACAGTTTTTCATAAACTCTACTTTTATGTAATTAGCATGCCTTTATTTGTTAATACTTGTCTAGCATGCCCATCTAAGTCTTTGCATGTTGTGCCTCACTCTTGTTAAGTTAATTACTCTCCCTAGAATGGCTTCAACATGCTTATGTTGTAATCTTTGGTGCATTCTACCTAACCTAATAACCCTTCAAACTCTATTTATCTTGTTGTTTGTGTGTTCCATTGAGGTGTATTCTCTATGTTCCCAATCCCTCTTCCCTTGTGTAAAAGTTGTTCTTAAAGCTTGTTTTGTTCTATGACTTGTGCTCTGTTTGCAAATTATTTCTTTACACTTTCCTCAAACTGTTTTATCACTAAAGTTAGCACTGTTTTTTTTTTTTGAGAAATTCTTTTCAACCCTAAGACCTTTCTTTATACTATCTATTAAACCCTTTCAAACCATTATGCATTTCCACTTACTCTTAGAATACTAGGTCTTGCCCCTCTGATATGTGTACTGCCTTAAGACCCTTGAGATCTCTCTGAACTCTAACATGTCAGGGCTGGCATTTCCACACTGCACCTAAATCAGTTATTATTTGAGAAAGATCTAGGTGTGAGCACTGCCCGGGATCCTTGAGGTCCTCAGGGAACTCTGACACACCTAGGCATGAATTTGGCTATGGAACTTTGGGCATTTGAGACTAATGGAGGCTTGGAAATCATTTGGGCCTACTTCAGGCTCCCTAAAAATTAGTTTCTGTTTTATTTTTGTAATTTTTATTCAATTCATCGGTCTGTAATAATTAAATAAACAAACAGTGGGGTGATTAGTGAAAAAGGGAGGGTGGTTTTATATTGTGGGTAAAATTGGGTAGATACCATGCCTATAGGGTTTTTATTGATTCAAATGTGTTTGTTAGATAACATACATATAGGATCTGCTACGGTTTAAAATAAGTTCTGTTTGCTTTACTTCCACACAATTAGAAGTCGTGCCTATAGGATCTAAACTGGTTTTAATAATAGAGATCATGCATATAGGGTTAAAATCAGCTCTGATAGAAATCATGCCTATAGGGGTTTCACTTTGGTTAAATGAATGTTGTTTGTTTCACATTATGCTTAACTAGAAATCATGCCTATAGGACTTAAAACCAGTTTAGTTAGAAAAACAGCTTAATTCATGTTTGTTTATTCTGAATCGGTTTAATGTACTAATATGTTCGCTTCCTTAATAAGTTTTTAAATGTTGCCTCAATTAATATTGCTAGAAAGCATGCCTATAGGATCTCATGTTGTCCGTTTAAAAATCGTTTACTGTTTTACTGCATTCCTGGTCAGTAATAGATACCATGCTCATAGGACATCACTGTTATATGTCTAGGCAAGCCTGTAGAGCTATTAAAATTTTACAAATTATAAAACTGGGTCTTACTATTTGAGACTGCTCACATTCAACAGGTTTAAAAGAATAAGTAGGCAAGTAGGATTCAGTTCTTTGACACTTTGGTCCTAATTCAATACTGTATGCTCTCTGCTCACCTAGATATCATGTTTTGAGTTTTTCTCTTAAATACTTGAAACTGTTGTATGAGACGTGCACTTACTTGTTATGTTTGTGGAGGTAAATGTGAGTCTTCAATTGTTCCCTCTTTAAGTGCAGTCCTAATTATTTTGATTGACGCTTAGACTTTTCTCCTTTAAATACATTAGGATGGTCTAGAACTACCTAAATTAGAGGTCCTAAATATCTCCAGGGCCATAAGGAAGGGACGGGTAGTGCACGCATATGATATCTTTCAAGGTTGCGAGAACGCGTTAGGCTATGACCAGGGGAGGGGATTGGGTAGTAAGGAATATGATGACCACGCGCTAATGTCACGTGTAGCCCCTCGTTGTGGAGTATTTACCGGGCATTATGTGGGTATGATCCTTTAGGCTAACCAACTTAGGACACCTCTTTCCCAACTCCCGTTGTTTAAATAAATTTACTTTTCTTGATGTATGTGCAACTTATTCGAACCTTTTCCCTTGTTCCATTACTTGAATCATACATGTGCTTAGAATGTCAAAAACATGCCTTTACTTGCAAGTACGTGTTAAAACTATTTATTTTGTAAAATGACTAATTCACATAGTTTAAGTTCGGCCAGAACCCATCATTGTGGATCGCGAGGGGTGCCTAACACCTTCCCCTCAAGGTTATTTCGAGTCCTTGCCCTAAATCTCTGGTAATACAAACTAGTCCATGAGTTAATTGCTCAAGGTGCCCTAACGCACCATAATCCATTAGGTGAAAAATCTTCAAACACTCAATTCCCAAAAGGAAACGAGTTATTTCCCCCATGAATGTCGAAATCCGGACTTTTCCTGTCAAGAAGGGAAAAAAGGAGGCGCGGCACATATCGTCGGTGGTATTCCTAGACGAACTAACATTATGACGATAGGTCGTTGTTGGAGTTTGCTGGGGTAGGTTACAGTTGATATTGCACAATACAGTTTCCTTACTGGGTACTGAATCCAATAAGCTCTTCCTATCATCTTCAGAAACTTGCTTCACAAAAACTGGTACAGTTTCATAAACACATGGCACATATTTGGTTGCAAAATATTTTCCTGCCTTTGCCAATTGATTCGCTACCCTATTTTGTTCTTTGTACGCATGTTGAACTACTGGATTACCAAGCTGGTTCAGGAGGTACCTGCAGTCCTTTAGCATGTTAGCAAATGAGATATTATTAATTTGTAATATTTTTACAATTTCTTTTGCATCCACCTCCAGTGGTTGTAGATTATATTCATGTACCAATTTTAGTCCAGTAAGCAACACATGTAATTCAGCTGACACTGATGTCCCTTTTGGGACAGTTCTTGAAAAACTTAGTATCCATTCAACATTTGAGTTTCGAATTATTCCTCCAATTCCATCAGCTGTAGTAGAATGAGCTCCATCCGTGTTAAACTTATATAGATTTGCCTTAGGAGGATTCCAGTGAAGGTTTCCAATTGTTTTTTTCTTACCCTTGTGATGGGATGCAGCCAAGTAACTAAATTCAGTTGCTTGTTGGGTGGTAAATTTGACATTGACCTTTTTCCCTAGTTGAGTGAAAATTATTTTTATTATGAGTTAGCCAAATATTCCACAAGCTTATTGGGATATAGGTTTAAGGATTTATATTAAAAGGAAGTGTTATACCTTTAGAGTTGATGAGCAACCGCAGCCAAGTTTTAGTGCTTGGTATAGCTGCTAGTGATGTAATAAGATTCGTAAGACCTAATTCTTGCCAGTAGCTCCTAGTGTTAACGCATGTAAGGAATATGTGCTTAATATTTTCCTCTTCTTGTTTGCAGTAAGCACATGATGTGCCGTTTGTTAGATTAATTTTCCTAAGGTAATCTTTAGTAGGTAGCCTATCGTGATATAGAAGCCAAATGAACGATTTGATCTTAGGTTGTATAGGTAGCTTCCATATCCAGGAGAAGGTTGATGAAGTAGTGATGGATCTTTTTAAGTCTGTTTCCATAGCTTTATACAATGAATGGGCTGTAAAATTTCCCATGTGTGTTAAGCCCCAATAAAGGATGTCTTCAGTGTTTTGCAATTTAGAAATATAAGTGGCTTGAATTGAGTGTCTTATGTCCTCAGATAAATCAAAAGGGATGTTGATCCAATTCCACCTAGTGTCATTTAAGAGAGATGATAATTTAACGTCGTTATGGCTTGAAGGCAGTGGACCGTGAATTAAAGAGCGGATAGTTATGCCAACCTTTAACCAAGTATCATCTGAGAATTTTATATTTTGACCCTTCCCAATCTTCCATTTGATTTCTCGTTGGCAGTATTCCTAGCCTCTGTAAAATATTAGACCAAATTTTGGAGTGAATACTTGCATTGTACTTAGTAAGAAGCATTTGACAATGCTTTTTACTAAGAAAATACCATGTTTTTCTTTCACTCTCCATTCCTATTTTTGATTTCTTATTATTTACATATAAGTTTTCTTTTCAAGATTGTATCCTTCATTTTATGATTTACTAGTATTCGTACCCACACAATGCACGGTCAATATTAATTAAACTAAATTGTGACCGAGCTTGTTTGAATATATTAGATCGTATTGCTTTAATAAATTCCAATTGTCATCTTATTTGTCAATATGATATGCTCAATAACGAAATCTCTATTAAATTGAATGGACTTATATAGTAATTGAATAACTTTTTTATTCTATATTTTTTTAATTCTATTATCCAATGCTTAATATTTTTACATTGTTAATAGAAATTTTTATTAGCAAATTACTTTATGTAATATTTTTCTCTGATCGCTTTCCTTTTGTAATATAAGAGAAGATGTATATTTTATTAATATTGAAATATTTTTATTTTAAATTTAATTTTGTTGTTGTCAATAATATTATCTGAATTTTCATGAATAAAACCTCTATTAAATTAAAGGGACTTATGTAGTCATCGAATAACTTTTTTGTTATCTATTTTTTTTATTATATTATCCAATATTTAATATAATTGCATTGTTAATAGAAATTTTTATTAGCATATTTGTAACGACTCGACCGGTTGGTTTGAGCTCTAGCGCGTCGTTCAGCGATTTGAGGCCATGAGCAGCTTCAATTCAGGTACTATGACTTCTACGCATGGTCGAAATTGAATTTCGGAAAGTTCGGAGTTAATTTGGAAAGATAATTCTCATTTCGGAAGCTTTAAGTTGAAAGAATTGACTAAGATTGGATTTTTGAGTAAACGACCTCGGAATCAGTATTCGAAGGTTCCAGCAAGTTCGTATGAAGATTTCGAACTTGGGCGTATGTCTGGATCGGGTTTTGGAAGACCCTGGAACGTTTCGGCATCTATTATGGAAGTTAGCATTTTTGGAAGAATTTTATAAGTTTGGGTTGAAGTGCATTTCAGTGTTATCAATGTCTGTTTGGGATTCCGAGTCTGGGAATAGCTCTGTATGGTGATTCTGGTGTTGGGAGCGCGATCGGAAGTGAATTCGGAGGTCCGTGGGTCATTTTGCAGTCATTTAGCTAAAGATAGAAATTTGAAAGTTTTTGAGGAGTTTGGCCGGAAGTGGACTTTTTGATATCGGGGTCAGAATCCAATTCCGGAAGTTGGAGTAGGTCCGTAATGTGGAATGTGACTTGCGTGCAAAATTTGAGATCAATCGGATGTGATTTGGTAGGTTTCGACATCGAATATAGAAGTTTAAAGTTCTAAAGTTAATTAAACTTGAATTGGGGTGCAATTCATGATTTTTGAATGTTGTTTGATGTGATTTGAGGCCTCGAGGAGGTCCATGTTATGTTATGGAACTGGTTTGTGTGATTGGACGATGCCCCGGGGGCCTCGGGTGTGTTTCGGGGTGGTTTCGGATCATTTCGAGTTGTTTTACAATAGTTGTTGCTGGTGTCTGGTTCTGCTCTTCGCGTTCGCGAAGAAGGATTTGGCTTCAAGGACTCTGTTCTTCGCGGTCGCAAAGATATCCTCACGTTCGCGAAGAAGGAAATCTATGTTGCACAGATCTAACTTCGGAGGCTCATATCTCGCAATCTATAAGGAATTTGGAGATGATCCAAAAATAACAGTTGTAGTCCTTTGTGTCTAGTTTTCAGAAAGGTAAACCATTTAGCATTTGGATTTCGTACCAAAAGTTATGGCTGGTACACTACAGGCTATCCAGGAAGATAAAGAAGAAATTTGTGTTGCACAGGGCTGATTTTGGCAGCTTATAGCTCAAAATCTATAAGGAATTGGGAGATTACCAAAGCACAGAAGTTGTAGATCTTGGTGTCTAATTTTCAAAACATTAAACTATTTGTCATTTTGAGTTTTGTACAAAACGTTATGACCATTATAATAGAGGTTGTCTGAGAAGAGTTTGGAAAATGGTTTTTGGGAATTTTCTTCTTCGCGAACATGATGGAGGTCTCGCGAATGCAAAGAAGAGTCGTATGGGAAGTGGATAAGTGTAAAGAAATGGGTTTGGCTCATTTCATCTCATTTCCTCCATGTGAGCCGACCTAGGAGCGATTTTGGAGCTTCATTTCATCATCCATGTCAAGGTAAGTGATTCCCACCTATTGCAAGTTAATTACTTGAATTATATCTAGATCTTAACATGGAAAATCATGTAAATTAGTAGAAATTTTGGGATTTTGAAGAAAACTTAAGAAATTTTTATTCTTGGATTTTGACCACGATTTTGGACATGAAATTGAGAGCCAATTATATATTTGAGTTCGTGAGGTTGTGGGTAAGCTTTATCTTCGAAAAATTTCGGAATCTGGGCATGTGGGCCCGAGGGCAATTTTGTCAACTTTTCAAGCGGAGTTGGAATTTTATATAAATTGAATTGTTATGAGTATTAGGGTGTATTTTCATTGGTTTGCCCGTTATTTGGCTAGTTTTGGAGAGTTGGGGCATCAGTTTGAGTTATCGGAAGGGGATTGGAAGCTGGTTATTAGACCTCGGAGTGAGGTGAGTCTCCTTTCTAACCTTGCAAGAGGGAATTGTCCCCATAGGTGAAATAATTGGTTATGTGTTCCTATTTGTGGGGGCTACGTACGCACGAGGTGACGAAAGTCTGTGCGTAGCTACTATTATGTTTAAGTTCGGGTAATCTAGGACCCAAAAGCATGCTATAATTGGAATATTTGTAATCTTATTGACAGTTTGAATTGCTTAAATCACGTCGAATTAGTAAATGAATTTCTAACAAGATTAAACTTTATTTTCTTAAATTGTTAAAAGAGAATTGGCTTTCTTTGGATAATTGTTCCATGTTGACTCCTTGATTGACTGTTTGTGTGTGTTTAATTTCGGAATGGGCTGAATGCTTCGGTAGATTAAATAGATGCATCTATGGTTCACGTCATTCGACCCTCTAGCAATGCACAGTTTAAATACTGTTGGATCGGGTCTACGTCCTCGTCATGATTTGCGCATGCTTGTATTGCTTGCCTTGAGATTTATTGATATTGATATTTGCTCTCCCCGACTTGAGATAATTGAAAATTAATAGATTATGAATCCGGAGATTTTTAATACAAAAAGGAACTTTTACCTGTTGGTGGCTTATTTAAAATTACTGTCGTTCTTAATAAATCCATGATTACTCGTATTAATAATATATTATTATTGGACCACTAGTAAGTGTCGAAGTCGACCTCTCATCTCTACTTCTTCGAGATTAGACGGGATACTCACTGGGTACATGTTATTTTCGTACTCATGCTACACTTGCTAAGCATTTTTGTTGCAGGTTTATGTGTGGCTAGTGGCTTAGTGGCATAGCGGCATGGTTGATACGGGGACTTAGGTGAGTTGCATTTATCGAGACGACCGCAGCCAGCAGAAATTCCTTTAGAGTATTGTACTGTATTTTCATTTCTGTCCACTTGTATTCCGGACAGTTTCTGTATTTTATTTCATTCCCTAGTAAATGCTCATGCACTTGTGACACCGGGTTCTGGGATGATTATGGGGTATTCTATATTAACTTCTAAACATTCTTTTATTTATTTTGTAAAGATTATCTTTTACTAGCCAAATTGAAGAAAAATCATAGTTTTCACAATTATTAAAACGAGAATTTAATTAAGTATTTATGGTTGGCTTGCCAGACAACAGTGTCTGGCGCCATCATAATCCTTAGTGGATTTTGGGTCGTGATAATATGGTATCAGAGCACTAGGTTCCCTTAGGTCTCACGAGTCATGAGCGAGTCTAGTAGAGTCTTGCGGATCGGTACGGAGACGTCTACACTTGGCTACAAGGCTGTTAGTAGCACCTCCCTTCTTGATTCCTCATCGTGCGATTTGATTCCTTGAGGCTTATGCCCTTGTTTCCTTCCTACTCAATCTTACACAATGTGAACCGCTTGTTATAAATCGAGAATTGAAGAATTGTAATCGTACTACATATGTGGTGCGGGATGTTTCTCTCGGTATAGTTGGTTGGGCTATTGTCATCACCTTGCAAAAGAATTTTTCTATCGTTTCGGCTCGGTAGTGGTGCTTCTAAGAGCTTGGAGGCTATGCACAGGTTGCTATGATGCTCATGATTGGTTATCGCACAGTATTGACTTGATAGTAGGATACTTGCCTATGTGTTGGGGCGGTGAATGATTTGAAAGAAGTCTACTCAATGCACGAATTAGACATCTGATATTTTATTTTTGGAGGAGGAAAAGCAATTGGCCTATGAATGTCCAGATTTGGGGTAATGGAGTAATGAGACTTAGTTTTTCAAGCGTGGTGGAATTTTCATCTGCGATGTAATGTCGTCGTCCTCGATTGTATGTGTTATGTTTGCCGGTGTTATGGTCTTCTGCAATTCACCTATAGGGTAAGATATTGTAAAATAATATTGGAGAAACGACTGTTATATATCGTGGGGTGCGGTGGTTCAGGATTGAAGCGGTGTTCCTAATATTGACAGCTCGAGAAAGATGATCTTCGGAAAGGTTTAAATGGGTTTAGGTGCTACAAAGATGGATTTT